CATGTCACCACGCGTGGGCAGCAAGGGGGAAAACCCCTGAGGAAAAGGGATACCCTGGATTTCTGGCAGGGTGACACCCCCAGCTAGCAAGGCTGGAGAAGAGAGCGGTTGCGGCCAGGTTGGGATCACCAAGGGGCCACACGCCTTGGGAGGCCGCCTCCCCAGCCGGAGAGTCAAGCAGGCCTTCTGGCAATCGGAACGAACTGAGAAGCGGTCGTCCTTTCTGTGTTTCAACCGTCCGGCCGGCCCTCAACCCAACTCCAGCCAGCATAGCACACCTCCTTGACACGGCCAGGGGGCCCATGCCCCTGCCGGCGAGCGCGGCCAGTACTGGCCTGCACGCGACGCAGCCCTCCTCTGCATCAAAACAAGTAGAGATTCTTTGTCGTGCAATTTGTAAGTCCTAACGAAAGTCTCCGAGCGTGCAAACAACTGCGACAGCGCCTCACCCAGCAGGCGCTTGCGCGAAGGCGCCTTTCGCGTTTGTGTCTCACAGCGTACCTTGGGCCCCGCCAAAGGTGCAGGCACATGTACTGACCTGTCCGCATCCTGCGCAGCTTTCGTAGTCGCTACCATTGATTCAAGAATTGTTTTTCTATTTTAAGCGCTCGCGCACGTGTTTCGCAGATCGTTGCCAAAACGCATCCGACGGCGGCATCTGCTGAGCACAAGATCTGAGAGGACGCCTTTGTTGATTTCTCTAATAAAGCGCGATCGTGGGCCACATGCAGCTTCGCCCCTTTCCTGCGGTGCGGGCGCTGGCGGTGCGTGACGCCGTCCTCTGGCCGTTGCGACACTGCAGGTGAACGACCTGGGGCACCAAGAGCAGTGTGTCGCACCTTGTAGGGGCAATTTGTAGCACATAGCAGCTGTGACGGTGCATGTGCAAGATGGCACCGAAGCCGGAGCTATGATCGCACTTTGACGTGGCACGGCATCTCCACAGGCCGCCGCTTGGGGTGCGGCAGCCCATTGGCACGTGCCGTGTGGCCTCCCCAAAAGCAAGTGAGCGCTGTTTAATGTTTTGGCATCGTGCATGGCGGCGCTCCACCTTAGCGGAGCAAGGAGGGGCTCAAACTAGAATTGAAAGCAAACTGCCAGCTCTTGGCGGGGGGTGCTTATGAGATGCGCTTGTGCCGGTTGGTTGCTGCTCCTCGTGACCCGTTGGGCCCTCCGCCACGCAGGCCAGGCCGCCGGCGCACCCGTTGCGACCAGCAACGGCAATGGGTTGGCGTCCACCAACGCCGCTGACGTGGACAACAAGCTGTGCGCGTCCAGCCTGGACCAGGGCTGCCAGGATTATAACCTCCCAGTGAGCCGACGGCGGGAAGGGTGGGGGCGGCGAGGTGTCACATGGGGTGGCCTCATTGCAACCCCATGCACTTGTCAGCCAAATGTGCAGCAGCAGGTGTGCATCCACAACCCAGCACACGGGTTGCTGCTTTTCAGGTCCCGAGCCGCTGCTCCCAGCAGGCATGGCCCCTGCCTTTCGGCCCCCACCTCGGCCCCTGCAATCCTCACCACCCCACCACCCCAAACAGGTGAACGACTGGGCGCACAGCAGCCTGAGTGTGGTCGTGCTGGGCGCGTCTGGTGATCTGGCCAAGAAGAAGATTTTCCCTGCCCTGTTTGCGCTCTACTACGAGGGCCTGCTGCCACCCAACGTGCAGTTCTTCGGGTGAGCAGCTTGCCTTGCGTGTTGCGGGCGTCAGTCCTGCAGCTTACGAGGGAAGCCTTGCATGTCGAGGTAACCTAAAGGACAATCAGCAGCACCGCTGGCCCGCTGGCCCGCTGGGCAGGCCTGCGCCCTGCTGAGCCGTTTCAACCGGCCGCCCCCCTCCCTCGCTGTTCCCACCCCCTCGCGCTGCTGCCTGCTCTGCTGGCGCCCTGCAGCTACGCGCGCACCAAGATGACGGATGTGGCGTTTCGCGAGATGATTGCGGGGACCCTCACCTGCCGCGTCAACTCGCGGTGCGCCAGCAGCTGTTGAGCATCGCAGGTCTTCCCTGGGTGTTGGCGCGGCCTGGCTTGCTCGTCGCGTCCGCTTTTTACTGCCCTTCTTGCCCATCCTGCCCGGCGTCCGCCAACGCCTCGCCTCCGCCCTTGGCCTCCCAACCTCCCAAAGGGAGCGCTGCCTCGAGGCTCAGGAGACGTTCCTGCAGCGCTGCTTCTACCAAGCGGGCTCGTACGACCAGCAGCAGGTGTGGAGCGGGAGGGTGCGGCGGGCCCCAGTGTTCCCTCAGTCGCAGGAGGGCATGCGGCACAGCAGGGCCCTGCTGCTGGCATGGCGCGGCATGCGACACAGATGCATCCCATGAACCCGAATAGGATCGCTCAATAGGATCTGACAGTCCTGTCATCGTATGTATAAACAACCTCCTCCAATGCCGGTGTGCGGCAACGTGGCACCCCTTCATCTTGAATTCGCCACCCCAGGGCTTCATCAGCCTCAACACGCGCATGTCAGGTCAGGAGGCGTCCATGCCTCGCGCCAACCGCATCTTCTTCCTGTCCATTCCGCCGAACGTGTTCCTGGACGCCACGGGCAACGCCGCGGATTGCGCGTCCAGCAGGTGTCAGGGCTTGCGGCCCCGGCAGGGGGCTCTTGCTCAGAATGCAACAGCTGCACAGCAGGCTCCCCTACTGGCAATTTTCCACTCGCCAATTCCTCTGGCCAGGCCCCGCTGTTCCCAATCTGGCGCCGCCCTCTCGCTTTTTATGAGCCCGGCCCCCAATGCTGCGACCCCCAGGACCGGCTGGACCCGCGTCATTGTGGAGAAGCCTTTCGGCCGCGACAGCGACAGCAGCAAGGAGCTGGCCGAGGGCCTGGGGCGCCACCTCAGCGAGGAGCAGATCTACAGGATAGATCACTACCTGGGTGCGTCTAGGAGGGGGGCAGTTGGGTTAGGAGGCTGGCATGGAGGGCTGCGCTTTTGGAAGGGGCGCACAGTGTCTGCACGTTGCATGGGACGTCTCCACCTTGATAGGATGCTCAGCCCAATGGGTGACGTCCATACCGGCATGTATCAGCCACACGCCGTTTACACACAACATGCACCCATGCGCCTCGCGCTTACAGGCAAGGAGCTGATTGAGAACCTGACCGTTCTGCGTTTCAGCAACAGCGTGTTCGAGCCCCTGTGGAGCAGGCAGCACATCCGCAACGTGCAGGTCCGACCGCCAGCCTCATTTTGTGCAGCAGTGCTCTCACTCCGTTTGGCTTGGCCAGCCCCGCATGTACATCTACCTGGCTGCGCTCCAGTCTGCGCACACTGCTCAGTGTCAAGCCTTTTCACAAACAATAGCTCATCCCCTCTTTCAACCCCAGGTGATCTTCAGCGAAAACTTCGGCACCGAGGGCCGCGGCGGCTACTTTGACCGCTACGGCATAATCCGTGACGTCATCCAGAATCACCTGCTGCAGGTGGGCGGTTCAATTTGTGAAGGTCTGCTTGATCGCCGTGAAAAGCGCATGCTGCATGTCGCTGGCCGTTGCGCCCACAGTGATGTAAGTGCTTGGTGCCCGCACTCATTTCACATCGAATACGGACTGGCTGCCTCGACAGATCCTGGCTCTGTTTGCTATGGAGCAGCCCGTGTCGCTGGATGCTGAGGACATCCGCAGCGAAAAAGTCAAGGTGGGCTGCCCAACAGGCATTTGACTGTGGTGGTGCGCATGATTCATTTCACCACAGCATTTGAGGGGCACAGATTCGCGCGGGGTCCCAGACATCAAATGAAGTTTCTTAATCTCCAACAGCCCCGCGCAGTTGTGTGGCCGCCATGCTGACACTTCCCTCCCCATTCCTCATACAGCAAGCCTCTACAGCAGGCATGTATGTGCAATTGTCCCACTCTCCCTGTATGGCCTAAGATCCCCTGATTTCCCAGTCTGCGGCACCCCGCCTGGTCCCTGCCCCACCCGCTTCTGCGCCCGTCCCTCAACCCCCCCTCCAACAACTTCCCAGGTGCTGCGGTCCATGAAGGTGGTGTCCGCGGAGGACGTGGTGGTGGGGCAGTACAGGGCCAAGGGCAACCTGCCAGCATACCTGGACGACAGCACAGTGCCCGTCGGCAGGTGTGTGGTTGGCCGCAACTGTCGTTTACATATGGAAGGTTTTTAAAGGGCTGCCTGCAAGGAGATCACCTGCATGGGGCATGAGGCTACGGCCCGTTGGTGCAGGTGTGCTCTCGTCCTTACTGGCGGTTCTGGCGGTAGTGCGCCGAAGCCAGCTTCCCCCTCTGTTTGAATGTTCACGAACCACCCTTGCACCGCAGCCTGACGGAGACGTTCGCGGCAGTGGCGATGTTCAGTGAGTCTGTTGGGGTCGGCGAGGTTATTCAGGGGCGACGAGGGTCGGCGGCAGCAGTGCTCAGCCCCGCAAGCACTCGCCATGCAGCGCCTCTTGCCTTGCTCTGACCCAGCCCGCTTCCCCGGCCCCGTCTTGATCCAGTCGACAACGCGCGGTGGGACGGGGTGCCGTTCCTGCTTAAGGCGGGCAAGGCTCTACACAAGCGCTACGCCGAGATCAGGGTGCAGTTCAGGTGGGGCACGACGTCAATGGTGTGGTGGCCGCCAGAATCGCGAGGCCGACGTGCACACACGCTTTCTCTGTCCCCCGCCCCAGCGCAACGGCACGACGACTACGGCCCTGAGGACGCTTCATCAAGCCCAACCAGCACGCCGCTGGCTGCTCACCACGATGGCCGCTTGTCGCAACCCGCCCTCCGTGCCTCTGCTCTCCACCCGTGCGCTCCAGGCACGTCCCTGGTAACCTGTACCGCAGCAAGCAGGGCAGCAACCTGGACGCTCACACCAACGAGCTCGTCATCCGCATCCAGCCCAAGGAGGCCATCTACCTGAAGATCAACAACAAGGTGAGCCTGGGTGCGGAGGAGGGGATGGGTAGTGTCCTGTTGTGTTTCACGGCCCGCTCCCTGAAGGATTCTCAAGGGTTCTGCCGACGCGGGCGGGTCCTGTAGTAGCTGCGAAGAGTATTTGCTGCATTGTTTAGAAGAGTCGCCTGCGAGGTGAGGCGATGTTGGCCTTGACTGACATTTGCTGCTGTCCGTGTCCCCCCCTCAATCTCCAAGGTGCCCGGCCTGGGCCTGCGCCTGGACACCAGCCGCCTTGACCTGCAGTACCAGTCTGCGTTTGCTTCCAACGACCTGCCCGACGCATATGAGAGGCTGCTGCTGGATGTTGTCAATGTGAGCCAAAGCTGGGCTGAAAGGCAGCAGGACAGCCAGCAGGGAGGAGTAGAAGGAATGCAGCCCTGCCTCTAATCTTGAGACTCTGCAGCCAGCTTGACTTTTGCTTTCGATTGCTTTGCTGCATGAAATGTACATCCCTCTGCTGAAGCTGCAACATGCTGTGAGGCTGCAATGTATACACCAGGTTGTCAATTGCTCCCTGACACTTTGCTTGGAATTTGGTCCCTTCAGGGTGACAAGCGGCTCTTCATCCGTGCGGATGAGCTGGAGGCGGCCTGGAACCTCTACACGCCTCTGCTGCATGCGCTGGAGAAGAACAAGGTGGGCTCAGGGGCAGTACCTCAGGCGGCCCCAGGAGGCATTACGAGCAGTGAGGAGCTATGCCCAACACCTTTGCACTACCCACGCATTCACGCCTAAGAAGCAAGCAGCAAGGGACCCAGGCCGGCATTGATGTGCTCTTATCTCAATCCCCCTAGGTGGCCCCTGAGCTCTACCCCTATGGCAGCCGCGGCCCCGTGGGTGCCCACTATCTCGCGGCGAAGTACGGCGTCAGGTGGGGCGACCTCAACGAGGATGACGACGAGTGACGGTGACTGAGTGACCAGTGTCTTTCATATGGATGGCATCACGCCGTCACCATCACTGCGCCCGCACGGCAGCCACGCGCGGGCCGGCCGGGCATGTCTGTGCCATGGTGTTTCTGAGAGCACTGCAAAGTCACCTCTGCACTCCCAAACGATACCTGTCACAATCTCTGAACTCTATTTCAGCTTCTGGATTCTTGTCCGAATCCGTTGATTTTCTGTTGCATACATCGTCCGCCCAGAAGCCAAAGCACAAAGTTGCTGTGTAACACTAGCACGCCCCTTAATCAGCGGGACAAGGTCAAGCCAGCCGCCAGCCTGAGTGTTGAACCACAACCTTGGGAACATACTGGTTGGGTGCTCGTCGTCGTTGCTCTTACGGGCTGTCAGGGTCCCATTTGGCTGCAACTGCGACACACACAGGCAGCCTTTCGCTCAGTCACGCTGACCCCGTGTGCGGCCGCTCCTGACTGCGTCGCAGTGGTCCGCTTCAGCGTCAGCGTGCGCGGCGGCAAAGTACGCGCTGTAGTTGAGCGGGCGCCGCGCCTCGGCGCTGGCCCCGCCCGCGCCAGAGCGCAAGAACCTGGGGCCAAGCAGCGATGCGAGGGGTCAGCGCGGTGCTGCCAGCGGGCAGCGTAGAAATGTAGCATGCAGTTACGCAAGCAGCAGCAGCAGCAGCAGCAGCAGCAGCAGCAAGAGTGCTATCCCTGGTAGCTGCTGCTGCTGACACACACTGGGCAGAGATCTATACTCTCTCCCCCTCGCCACACAGTCACCTGTCCCTGCTCCACTGTTCCTGGAGCTCCCGGTAGCGCTGGACACGGTCTGTCTTCCTCGGCCCCGACAGCGCTGGCTTGGCGCCGTTGGTGGCCTGTAGTGGCCGACCTATGGTGCTGCCGCTGCCGCTTGCGCTGCTGCGCCGATGGATTGCTGTTGAGCCTGGCTGTGCGCTCGCACTCGCTGCCCAGCTGCTGCTGCCGCTGCCCGTCGTGGAGGGCCGCGTGGGGCAGGCAGCAGCCGCCGAGGCCGGGTCCCAGCCGGCCTCCATCAGGGATAACCGGTCATACTTGTGGCGAGGGGCTGCTGCGCAGACGGGACGGGGCCGCTGCACCGGGGGCCTTTGGGCCTGCTGCTGCTGCTGCTGCTGCTGCTGCGGGCGGCCGAGGACTCCGCTAGCAGGAGCCTGCCTCGCTGCACCGACTGGGCCGGAGGCCCCCAAGCCCTTGGCAGTGGGCCTGCGCATAGGTGGCACAGGCGACACTGGCGACGCCGGCGGCGCCCTCGGGCCGGGGCTGGGCCCGGCGGCGGTGCTGGGGCTGGGCGAGCTAGGTGCCATGTAGAGGGGGTCCTCACATCGGCTGCGGGGCATGTGCCTGTACCAGCACAGGCACAATTTGGGTGGAAGGGCTAAGGATGGGTCCAACTTGCGCACGCCTGAATTGCGGAGCGTGCATGCAATTATGCCAATCCAGTGTCCCACACAGCACGCACACACAGCACCTGCATGGCTCAGCAGGCGCTCACCCTGCGCTGCTTGCCCCGCAGGCGCCACCTCCGATAATTGAGTCCTCCTCCAGGTGCAGCGCCCCCACCACGCGTGCTGGGCTGCAGCCCCAAACCGGCCCCTTGCTGCCTGTGACAGTGTGCGGCCCCGAGATGGCTGGCCGCCGCAGCGAGGCCCCGCCAGAGCCAGGCGTGTTAGCAGGCGCCGCCGTTGGGGCCGCGCGGCGCAGTCGCTGCTGGCCACTGGCCTGCTGGTGGGGCCGGCCCCGCGCCGCCACGCCCAGCCCAGATGAGGGAGCCGCCCTGCTGCCTGGCGCGCCCAGCTCGTCGGCGCTGCTGATGCTGCCGTCCTCAGTGTCGCTCCGCTCCTCCAACCCCAGCGCCCGCTGCCACTGTTGCCGCTCTTGACCCTGCACGCCCAGCCATGCGGCAGTCGTATCGCGTACGGCGCCCAGGTCGCTGCACACGGGCTCGGGCGCGATCACTACATCATCCCCCTCCTCTGCAGCCGCGGCCAGCTCCTGAACACTGCTGCCTGTGCTGCCACCCGAGGCGCCTACACGTGCATTGCTCGAGATCGCTGCATGGCTGCGTACCGCTGGTGCGCTTGCGATGGCGCAGCGGGTGTGGTGCCGCTGGTGCCGCCAACGGGCGAGCAGGTCCGCCTCTGGCCGCGCCCCAAGCCCCATCATCGGACTGGCCGACTTCTCGTCATCGCTTCTGCTGCTGGCGTGAAACATTGCCGGCACGCCCTCTGCTTTTCCAGCATCAAGGCCGTCCGCACTGGTGCCATGGCTGCTGCTGGTGGGTGCGGCTGCCCTTGGCGGCTGCGAGGCGAGCTTGGCCAGGAAAGAGCGGCAGCGCGCGTCCAGCGCAGCACGCCGGATTGGCGACGAGCGCGCTCTGCTGCTAGACCCGCTGTCGCTGCCGGTCTCAACGCCGTCCTCAGGCTGTCGTAGCTCCTGTCTGCAAACAGGTCCCAGGCTTGGGATGGCCAGCGCCGCCGGGGCCCGCGGGGCCACTGCGGGGCCAATCGGCCTGCGTGACAACTGCTGGTCAGCCTTCCGCTGATGTCTGCTGGGGCTTGCATCTGGCAAGGGCCCGGCCAACAAGGCAGCCGCAGCCCTGGGGCCAGTTTTGGCCTGTCCGTGCGCGACATCAAATTGTGCTGGGGCGCGGCTTCGTTGATCAAGCTTGTGCTGCTCCTGGTGGTGCTGCAGCGGCTGCTGCTGCTGCTGCTGGTGAAGCTGGGTCCGCTGCTGCTGCTGCTGCGGCTGCTGCTGCTGCTGATCAGGCTGGCCGTCAGCATCTGGAGGTGTGGGTGCGCACCAGAACTCGTCACTGGATACGACCTGGCACGCCAACCCCCGCATGCGCAAATGCTGCACAGGTGCGCCATTCAAACGAAGCCGACAGGCATGCACCACAACCCTGATGCGCGAGGCGCAAACGCAGCCAGCAAAATATGCCTCTCCTACCGTGCGTCAAGGAGCCCGCCTTCTCCTCGCCAAGACCCTGCACGAAGCTCGCTATCACATCGTCCGCCACGACATGCCCCAAGAGCCGGAGTTGCTCCCTCACGGCAGCTATGTCAATACATTCACTCTCCATGAAGGCTTGCTGCCTATAAGAGCAGCTATCCTGCAGCACAGCGCGCCAAGATCGCTCTTGGGGGCTGTTCTTCAAAGGTTGTGTGTTAGTTGGCTTGTCAGAAACATATCGATATCCCTAGTACAACGTAGTTCTGCAACCTGCGCAGTTGGATCCCTTGCAGACTGATGATGAGACTGTTGGCCTTGGTGGAATGAGTGCCCCTGACCGGTCACGTAAGAAACACGCCGTTAAGACTAGCATGTCATTAATAAAAATCCGACGAACGATCCCAACATCCCGGGACGCGGGTCACCTCGGCTCATTGGTCAAACAACTCGCAAGAAAGCAGCAGCACGGGCGGGCACCGCTTCTCGATCGAACAAAGACGAGATAGTAAGCCGGTGCTGGAAATCGCTTTACATTCTCGAGGAAGCTCAACAGCTCTTCGCTTCGGTCAGTGTACTTACTGCAGCCGGCAAGGCAACGCGGCAGGGGGGCGTAGGAAGTAAAATTAAGCACATAAGCAAGACGAGTGACAGCAATATCCGCCTGTCACGGTTGCCAAGGGCCGCGCAAGCTCCGCTGCGTGACAGACGTGCACAACGCGCTCGTTACTGCTGCAACAGCAAGGCAAGCTGCTGGAGGGGCCCACGTCGGCCGTGGCCTTCAGCAGCTGGCTTAGCTACCGGAGCTGCAGCGCTGGCCGAGACAGAACTCAGCCGCCATGAGCCTGTACGACCTGCAGCAGCGCACGGACCTGATTCTGAAAAAGTGAGCGGGCACACATCACCAGAGCGGCGGGCAAGTAGATTTCTGTGCAGCGCCTTACCTCCAGACTTGCAAAGACTTTCATGCAGATTGTGATCCAGCCTTTTTTTTCTCTTAAGGAAATCCATCCGTGGCTGGCGTCGCCCTCCGCTGCTCAGGCCCCACGCCGTAAACAAACTCCCCAATCCTTTGCTTTGCCACCACCAGGTATGCCCAGTATGACAAGCCCATGGACAAGCGGCGGGAAACAAAGGGCGAGGATCCTTTCAACGATGAGTATGACATGATTGACACGCAGATTGACGAGCTCATGCGGGTGAGGGGGGCGTGGGCGAAGGGATTTTGGGGGTGGGTGGGGGCGAAGCAGTCGCGCAACGGGCGAGAAGGATCCAATCCAGGATGGATGGAGCAGGGTTGATCTGGGCGGAATGGCGCACGCGGTCAAAGATGTTATTTGATCGTGGCAACGGTGGGGGCTTAAGTAGCGCTGTTGAAGCAGCAAATACCGTAGACAAGGCTGAGCAGGCCGTCAAGCACATCATGTAACCATCAAGAGCGACTGGAGCCAATGCCGCTGGCCGTCGGATTTCGCTTGTCCAATGCACAGCAAGCAGAAGAGATCAGTGAGGAGCCTAACCGGGCCATTGTGGCGGCACGCAACGCCGAGATTCGGTGCGAATGGGTGACGTGGAGGTTGGGCCGCGGTTGTGCAGCCAAGGTTGCGGTGACACAGCTGGGAGCACAGGACGACATGCAGAGGCAGTTGAACCAGCAGCAATGCCACAAACGTCTTGTGGCCAATCGTGCACCGGCGCTTGCCCCTGCACAGCAAGTCCAAGCAGACGCTGCTGACGGACGGCATTGACGGGCTGCAGAAGAAGGTCAAGCGGGGCAAGGGCGTCACCAAGGTCCTGGTGGAGGAGCGGCAGCGGAGGGTGAGGCACCTGCCATGGGAGGTTGGCTTGGGGCGAGACAGGGATGCTGGCACCGACTGCATGCAACTAATGGCAGGGGCCCAGCTGAGCGGCCGGCAACCGTGCGGAGGTCCACAGACCTGGCTGAGGCAGGAAGCATCAGGCGCAACTATGTCCAAACTCCCTCTTATCTTCCAGGTGAAGGCACTGATCGATAAGATCTATGCCGTACCGGACGGCATGGGCGGCAACCGCAGGCCTTTTAAGGTGGATGCTGAGTCGGGAGGCTGCCCTGGCAGCTTTCTGATGCTATCGGTGCACTGGGCGTGGGCCCGCCCGCAAATCACCAGCGCTATGTACAGCGCATAACTCGTTACGAAGGGGCATGTAGCGCGCGTTGCGGCGCCAATCGCGCCTGGTGGGGTGTGTTTGAAAGCGAGGTCTGATTCTCGGTGTTGCGTGGGAGCAATGGAGAAATACAGGATTGCGTGCTTTTGTGGCCTCTTAGGTGTAGGCGCCATGTACCAATGGCTGCTCACTCCAGCTGCCCTGTCTTTCTCGTCTCCCTGCAGATCCCGGCATTCATGGGAAGCGGTGCGGAGGGCAAAAGTGCCATCAACCTGTCCACCGGCGGCCCCACGGGGCTGCAGGCCAACCCAATGTACTACAAGGGCACGGACGAGACACAGCGCTTTGAGCAGGCAAGCAAGGGTGGTCCTCCGCTGACTCAACAACTTCACACCACAATTGTACACGTTGTCAAGTTTGCTGGGCGTATTCTGACTCAGGAGGACATTGGCTCCCAGCTGCTTGACATGCCTTTCTCGTCGCTTTTGTTCTCTCATACAACTTCAAACTGCCTTGGCAGGAGTGGGAGAACTCCAAGAAGCGGCAGGACGCGCAGCTGGACCGCTTGGAGAAGGGGGTGGGGTCGCTGGCTGACATGGCACGCGGCATGCAGGTGGGAAGGATCATCTCGTTGTGATAACCCTACTTTGCAACGAACCACCCTTGCTGCTTTGCCAAGGCTGGCAGCGAAAGATGGCTAGCAGACACGCGTGAAGCTGCAGACCTGTGATTGACCGCGCCTTGCCTGATTGCGTCCTTGCTGCTCACAAACTGCCTATCACAAAACCACAACTCAATTCTGCAGGAGGAGCTTGACAAGCAGGTGCCTATCATTGACGACATCGACAAGCAGCTCAACAGCGTCACCAGCAAGCTCAAGAGCAACAACGCAAAGCTCAAGGGCCTGGTGCTGCAGGCAAGGGGGTGGATGCTTTGCGTAGTGCTAAGTGCGGGAATGCACGCCTCCCACCTAATCTCACCGAAGGGCGGCGTTCACTTACATTCATTGCCGCAGCAAGCATGGGGCAGACACAAACAGGAGAGCGCGTGCGCTAATGCATGTGTGCGTGTGCATGCAGGTTATGAGAACATGCACTTGAACACAGGTGCATGCAGGCACACGCACGCGCGCGCACACACACACACACACACACACACACACACACACACACACACACACACACACACACACACACACACGCGCGTGCGAGCGAGCGAGCGCGCATGCGCCTGCTCATTACACACACACGCACGGTATACACATGCAATTGCATGTGTGTCAGTTGTTTGTTTGTGGCTGTGTGCGTGTCTGTGTACGTCCATGTGCGTGATGTGGGTGTGTGCTTGCGTTTGCGCGCTCGTGTGCGTGTGCTTGTGTGCGTATGCGCGTTCGAGCGTGTGTGTGTGTGTGTGTGTGTGTGTGTGTGTGTGTGTGTGTGTGCGTGCGCGTGCGTGCGTGCGTGCGTGCGCGTGCCCATACATGTGTGGCTTATACACATGTACGACATGCATGTGCACCCACGTCGGCACGTACGCGCCTACCCCCTTTCAGATGCGGTCGAAGCGCAACTTTTGCATCGACATTGTGCTGGTGTGCTTGCTGCTGGGGATTGTGGCGTACGTCGTCAGCATGGTGCAGGTAAGAGCAGTGACAGGCTTCTGGGACGCAGCAGGTAGCAATCACATACCCCAGACAGCCGGGGCAGCAAGTTGAAGAACCAAGACCGCTTTCAGGCCAGCTTCAGGCCGAGAACGCCTTGCAAATGTTGCCACGCTGATGGTGCTGCCCCTTGTTCAATCCTGTCCCGCTGCCCTTTGCTGAATCCTGTCCCGCAGAAAAAGAAAACATCGTGAATGGACTCGTACGGTGTTTGGATCCCATCTTTTGTTCGTGCATTCAGACCTTGCCCAGTGCACTGTCGTGCATGCTTTGTTGCTGAGGATCGCCATGCCGCCAGCGAACATCTGGAGAAGCGGTCCTTTTTTGAGTTTGAATTGTAGCAATGCCGACGCCTGCTGATCTTCTTTTCCTACTGCAAAGCAAATGGTACTTTGTTGCGGCGCTTGAGTGCCATTCTTGCCACTATTACAGAGTTACACCACATGCCTGGTCAGATGCGTGAAAGGGTGACGGCCACCATTACACACACACTCCTGCTTCAAGACAATTGAATCGGTATTAGTCATCACTACGATGCAGCTAACACAAGTCCTCAAAACGGAGTCAGTTATGGGAAACAAAGAAGTTCACGTCAGACAAGACGGTTGGGAGCTCAATGCTGCATCAAGACAAGCAGGCAGCACAAACTGCAACACGCGAACAAACCAGCGAATGCGTCTCAACAGAACCAATGCATGTTTATTTCCTGTCAGTCATAGTCGTCGTCATACTCCTGCTCTTGAGCTCCCCCGTAAGTCGCTAGGGCCTCTGCTGCCAGCAATTCGCCAACAGGCGCCCCTGCCTGAGCATCGGCCAGCGCAAAGGGGCTGGGGCCGGATGCAATACGTGCCGCCTCTGCTGCGACAGGGTCCATGTCAACGTCAGCTTGCTGGTGCTCGCCGCCCTCACCAAACTGCTCCTGCTGCTGCTCCAAACCTGCCACTTCTGGCAGCGGCTTGGCGGCGGCCTCACCCCTGCCGCCAAAGCCGCGCCCGCCAAAGCCCCTGCCAAACGTCTTGCCAGCAAGGAAAGGGTGGCCCGCCAGGCCGCCAGCCGCTGCGGCAGCCGCCGCCGTTGCCGCTGCTGCCGCAGGAGTTGCGCCACCCCCGCTGCTGCCACGGGCGCCGCCACCGCTGTGATCCCCACCGCTGCTCACTCCACTGCCATCACCCCCTCGGCCCCTGCCCCGGCCGCGCCCGCCGCCCCTGCTGCCCCGCCCCCGGGTCTTGCCGCTGCCCCTGCCACCTGCCGTCACGTCCGCCACCGACTCTTGCAATGCATCGCCCTCAGCGCCTGTGCCTGCGCCCTCAGCTGCTTCGCGCCCCGTCTTGGCAGCCTTGGGCTCCCGAGGTTCCTTCTTCTCAGCCCTGCAAGGCCAAGGCAGCGTCACGGCAGAGACAAGGCTTGCTAAGCTGTGCCTTCTCCACAAACACACAACCAGTACCAAGTGCAGCCATCATAACCTGATGTGTGCATGCTAGGACCTCCGCAACACTGGCCTGCCAACGTCGCCGCCCACCTCTGGCGCTTTGGCTTGGGCGCCTCGCTGACACCCTCCGCCAGATCTGCGGCCGACGCCAGCGCATCCTTCAGGAAGTCCAGCAGCTGATCCGAGTTCACCACATGCTTCCTGGCAGGTCCAAATTCGCAAGTTGCCAAATGGACAAGTAAAAGGGAAAGGGGGGGCCGGGCGGACGAGTGACACAGGTCAGGTGTCGGGCTTGCATGCACACTGGGCAACTGCCGCGCAAAGCGAAGCGTGCACAATGGCACGCATATGACCTCCAGTCCACTGGAAGGCAACCACAATTATCTGACACTCACAGGTGGCTCGGTGTCACGGTCTTGGCGCCCCGCTGCTGCGCAACGTCCGACGCCCGCTCACACAGGTGCTGAAGAAACAGCTCGAGCGCCCGTTCTGCAGAGTGAAGTGTTTTGATACCATCTGAGATTCAATAAAGCGCCGCGGGCCGTGCTGAGACAGGCACAAAGTCGCCCAGATCGCGCAAGCCATTGTTGCCGCGGGAGCGCACCCATCAGGAAGGGAGTGGCCTGCGCAATCTTCCCGACTTCGTCGTCTGCTTGCATAACCCGCTTGATGCGGGCTGCCAGGGGGTGGGGCTTCTTGCCCATGATGTACGATGATGGCGACGCGGGCGTGTGCCGAGCGCAGGGAAAGTCACCTGATAGCAGCCAGTATACGATAAATCCAGGCCGGCGCGTGCTTCCAGCATCGCGCTGCGGCTGGGTGCGCGTTGTGAGTTCGATCACCTGGGGTGAAGCTGCCCAGCTGTGTCGCCATGACACTGAGACGACAGTCGTGCGGCCACGACCCACAACGGACCGCATATCGCGATCCTGTGTCGATCTTGTAAGCTTGAGAGCGCTCTCACCCGGTCCTATGCGATCCTACTCTGGTTGTTGAGGCTGCTCGAGCCCCTGAACCGCGGCCTCGCTGCCATATTACTTGAGGGGGTTTCCAAAATGAGTATTGGAGCGGCTTCCTTTCTGTTGGACGTGCGGCGCGGCGACCTGGCAGCGGTCAAGCGCACACTGGGCCGCCACCCCGGTGTGCTGCACGGCCGCTCCGGGCCCGACCAGCGCACCCCGCTGCACGTTGCAGCCGAGGTGGGCAATCACCTGATGCTGAGGACGCTCCTCCAGCACGGCGCTGGATATGCCGTCGCTGACGGGGCCGGCGAGGTGCCCCTGATGGTGGCTGCCCGGCAGGTGCGTCGCAGCGAGCCGACTGTGGGGGGACGCAGCGGCGCGGTACTGGATCATCCGCTGGCCACGATGCTGTGCGGTGATGGACTAACGCTCTGATCTGTCAGAGGCTCTTCATGCCAAAAAGCCCGTCGTGCGCAGCAAACAGTGGCCGTGCAGTCGTTGGTCTTGTGCTATGGCTGAAAACGGCGGTACTTCCAGCCGGCGCCCCACCAGCATCGCATCCCTCCCTGCACCGCACCCTCGCAGGGCCACCTGGCTGTCCTTCGTGAGCTCCTCGCAGATGCAGGGCGGCGCTCATGCCTCAAGGCGCTGTCAAAGGATGGCAGCACCGCGCTGCACATTGCAACCGCAGCCGGCAAGGCTGAGGTTGTGCAGCTGCTACTAGATGCCGGCGCGCGCACAGATGCTAGGGACCGGGTGGGTGGCGCAGGATGGGTCATCAGGCTGGTGTGGCCCACAGGGCGCGCAGGGCTTCACCAGTCTTGTGCGCAGCGGAAGTTGGCTGCGCTGCAATTGGGGTGTGAAGCTGCATGGGTTGCGCTAGGCGGACTGGGCTTGGAAGCATGTGGCCCAGCCTGTATGCTTGCTCAACGTCTTGCGGCCCCGCCTCAACGCTGTTGTGCAGGTCGGCCGCACGCCTTTGGAGCTGTGCCCACCCGACCAACCCGTGCTGGCGCGCATGCTGCACAGCGGGCGCACACCAGTCGGCGCGCGGAGCCCCAGCATTCTCGGCCAGCAGAAGACTGCCGGCGGCAAGACGGCCCCTGCCAAAAGCCCCGGCCGCAGCCTGAGCCCTGAGAGTGCTTCGAAGGCGCGCCGTCAGTCAACCAGCGCTTCGCCCTCTTCTGCCCAATCCAAGCCCTCGCCAAGGGCGGTCGGCGGCCAGGGCCCGCAGCAGCACGCACCACCAGCAACACTGCCGGCGACGGCGGCAGGCGGCAATGAGGATGGCGGCAACCGCCAGGACGCGGTGTTGGCGCCGCGGACGCTGGACTTGGATGCAGAGGCGCTGCCACAGGCGCAGCCGCAAGTGGCGCAGGAGGAGCTGCCAACAGGGCCAGAGGTCGAGCTGCAGGCACCCCCGGAGCAGCAGCAGGAGCAGCAGCAGCAGCAGCAGCAGCAGGAATTTTGGAAGGAGGATCAGGAGTGCGCACAGCAACACAGGCGTCAGCAGCCCGCGCCAGTGCAGGATTCACTCCAGGAGTCCCCGGCTATTCGCCTGGGCCTGCTGGGCGCGCAGGCCCAGCAGGTGCAGGCCCAGCGGGGGCCCCTGCACCAGCACCAGCCGCATCGGGCAGAGGAGGAACAGAGCAAGTGGCACAAGGTCACCTACACAGTGCAGAATCTTGTCAAGTGAGCTGACGAGTGAAGGTGCTTTTGTGCAAGAATCTCGCTCCTGCCGCCTCCTGTGCTGCATGCAACGCGCCGACAACAGCTAGAACGCAGCCGCCTTGAATTGTAGTGTGCGTCGGCGACCGAAGTTACCATGTATGCCCACTCACATGACTTCATGCAAAGTCACCCCAATCGTTGCCTCTCATCAATGTGACAGGCTGCTGGAAGAGCAGGAGCAGCGCGTTGCGCACCTGGAGGCGTCGAACGCAGCCGCTGCTGCGCGCATGGTCGAGCAAGAGGCCGCCCTCGAGCGCAGCCAGCGCGAGCAGGAGTCCGCCGTAGCATCGCTCTCCGACAGCGTCAGGCAGCTGCTGCACCAGGGCCGCGCGCTGCTGCACCACAAGCAGCACCCGGCCGCTGCGCCAGCCGGAGCTGAGGGCGAGGAGGTGGGCGTGCAGCCTGCTGCGGCCGACGCTGGCGGCGCGGGGCGCGCGCTGCTGGACTCTTCTTTTGAGGAGTTTATGGAGGCGACCAGCAGCTGCTTGCAGGCGCACGAGCAGCGGCTTGAGGAGCTGGCTGTCGCTGTGCCGTCGCTGCAGGCGGCAAAGCGCGAGAAGGCGCTGGTGGGGGAGCTGCAGCGCCAGGTCAGCACCCTGGAGAGCACGATGGCTGTGCTCACGGGAAACAGGTGGGCTGCACTGTGATTGGGTGACTGTGGAGCCGTTTGCCAAGGATGCATGGTAACATCAGCTTGTCCAGCAGTACATGCAGCATGCTTGAACCTCCTTGTACCCCCGTTTAAGGAAGCCAAGACGCTGCTGCCCGCATCGCAATTGAATAACCTACACACATACCAAACAACTGCGCATTACAGGGGCGGCGCCCCGACTTCCAGCGCCATAGTTTCCCGCGCCCCGCCAGTCATGAAATGCGGGCCCCTCAGCGCCCTGCCTCAGCTGCAGCAGCAGGTCATCGCTCTCGCTTCTGAGTTCGACCGAATGCGCGGCGCCATGGCGGCCGAGGTGGGCCGCATCCGCGCCGACGCCGAGGCCGACAGGGCCGACCGCGTGGACGAGCGCGAGCGCGCGGCGGCGGCGGCGGAGGCCGCGGGGCGGCGCGAGGCGGCGCTGCGTCACGAGATGGCCGTTCGCGAGGAGAGGATCCTGCAGATCAGGTGTGCACATGGGTTATGCTTGTGTCCCATAGGAACGTGTCGACCCGTATGAGCTTATCACAAGTACGGGTACTACCGTAGTCGTGGTGTTGCGATCATTCGCACTCTCCATGCTGACTGCAACCTCCTGGCCCCACATCAACGCTGGCCCACCCATCACGCCGCCCTTCACAATGCAAACCTGTGTCGCAGGGAGGCGGCGTTGTCGGACGATTCCGTGCGTCAGCAGATGGCCGAACTTGAGCGGGTGCTCGAGGCGCAGGTTGCAGAGCTGGTCGCGGCGCAAGAGGAGAGCAGCAGGGAGCTCAGGGCGCTGCACGAGCGCATCAGGGAGCTGCAGGTGGGCTTTGCATGTGGCAGGAGGTGCATCCTCCGGGGGACACATCTTTCGCAATGTGCCTGGCAGGAGCTTGCGCCTTTGTTGCTGCGTAGGTTTACTTTCTATAGATGTCAACAAGTCGCCTGTTTCTGCCGCAACCTCAGGATGCTCCGTTTGTACAAGGCGGGAGCTGTGCCGCCAACAACGTCCCACCGACGGCGTCTGCCAAGGCCGCCGCGCTGTCAGAGCAGCTGGCCCAGGCCCTGGAGCTGACGCGAAGCGCTTCCCCATTTGCAACCATGCACGCGGAAGCCCTGGCGGCCGGCACTCAGGGCGCCCCTCTCCACAATGTGCAGCAGCAGCCGCCCGTCGATGATCCTGCAGACGCCGGCCGCTCCGCGGAGACAAATGCACCAGCATCTCAGGCCCTGGGCACTGTGCCAGAGGTGGAAGCTGCCCCCACGTCTGCAGCCGGTGCGCAAGAGCAGAGCAAGGCAGACAGCGATGATCTGGATCAGGATGATGTGGCTGGGCGCGGAGCAGCTGCCGCGCGTGACGGCACCAGCAAGGCGCAGGCGGACGAGCCCAGCCTTTTCGGGCGCACGGCGATTGACAAGGCGGCTGCCGGAAGCGGCCGCAGCTCCCCGGTTGGCGAGCGCGTTCCTGGCGACGATGCCGCAGGGCAGAGCGACAAGCCTCAGCGCCACAAGGGGGCGCTGGCGAAGCGGCGCACGAAGGATGGCGCGGCTGGCCAGCCCGCAGGTGACCAGGCAGAAGCGCTGCCAGAGGGCAACCAGCCGCGTTGTGCGCCCTGCCTGATGATGTAGGATGGGACCTGGTATGCTGACAAGGACTCTTGCGCCAGGACGGCTTTCAAACAGACGCGCGTGGGTTGACCCATCGCTGCAACAGCGACGGGCGCTTTCTGCGCGCTTTGATGGTTGCTGTCTTGAGTAGATTAAAAGCCTCGTTTCGCACAGCCCTTAGAACAGCTTGTCACCCCAGCACAGCGCTTTTGACCCCACATCACAGTCCTTGACCCCCAGTGTACTGGTGCATCCATGACACAGTGCATGCGTGCAAGGTTTCGGCAGAAATGTCGATACCGTCAACGGAAATTGGGTTGGTTTTCTACCACAGTGCTGCTGTGGTCTGCATTTGGACTGCTACCATGCAATCCACGAGCACACGGCAACCCTGAGTGGGTTCGGCTTTGCAAGGCCGTTGTATGCGTGCGTGGTTCGTCGCGTGCGCGCCTCGCACGCTGGGCGCAACAGCAGTAAGGTGCATTGCAATCAGGTCACACGACGGCGGGAGTTGGGGAGTATGACGTTCACCTAAGGCAGCATTGACAAGTTTCAGACCCGCGCCTTGTGCTGCGGCTTGGGCGATGCTGCGGTGGCCACGGCGGCTTGGTGTCCGCAAGTGCTTGCGAAGCGTGGCGCGCGGCTGCCGCAGCTGCCCGGGCAACCTGGTCAGCTTGCTGCAAAGCTCACAGCCGCCTACGTCTGCGCTGTCTGCTCTGCAGCCGGGAAGCGCCGCGCCACCTCTGCTGCAAGCTCGTTGTTGAAGTCGTGATACCCCTCCTCAGTGGACCTCATGGCACCCCGCAGAAATGGCATTGCCAGCCCCATCTGGCGAGTGCCGTGCAGCAGGCGTGTTCCCCCGTTGCCGTCGCCGCAGTGAAGCGCCTCTAGCCGGAACCAGTGGCAGCCGCTCCAGAATGGCGCGTACATGATGCTGAAGTCGCGCCAAAGCAGCTCGCGGCCCTCATCCATGACCTCGACCTGCGCGTTTGGACATCGAGTGCGACACTCTTGGCGCACCTGGCGCAAGCCGTGCGCATGCACAGGATTTCGTGGCCCTCGGCCTGAGGACATGTGCAACGTTTTTCAAAGCTCTTTGCCTCTTTGTTCAGCGCATCAGCAGCAGGGGTTGCAAGATTTTATTGCGGCGCAGCATGCATTGCCTGCTGCTGAGTGGTTATCAACCGCCACACAGCGTGCAGCAAGCAAGCACAGCGTTGGACTTTCCTGCGCGCACCACAGGGTGATGTGCGGAGGTCTTGAGTGCGCCATGGCGCAGCTGGCATACCAAGGCACAGGGCTGGCCCGGTGCCTTGGGCGGTTGGATCCATGTCATGAAGCCGCTGCTCCAATGCCCCCAGCTGCCAAAGTCAGCCAGGACCTGCCACGCCTGCTCAGGCGTGGCGGGCAGGAGCACCTCGGTCTCAATGTATGCATAGAGACCGTTGTAAGTGAATGTCACGGTGTGCGACATCTGCAAACCGGAATGCGACAGGCTGTTGTAAAATCAGAGACACCGCTCCCTTGTATCATAAACATCGCAGAATCAAACTCAAGTTTTCTGGTTCCTCCGCCGCACCTAAGAGAATTCGGCACAGTCGGCAAGTGCCGAGAACAGATCTGAGCAACTAGTGCACGGCACGCTCTACGCCGCAGACAATCAACCTCGTATTTACACAATCAGTCACTTTTGTCCGTTCATTATCAGCATGGCAGCAACGGCGGCGTCTGACAGCGCGAGCGGCCCCACCGAGGTCCACTTTTGGACCCCCGCACTCCCCTACAGTCTCTTCTCGTACGCCCTCGAGGTACGTGGTGTTTGAGAGGGCTGCATCCAGCTGCCATCAGCTCAACCAGGTCAAGCAAGCGACGTCAGACACAGTCACGGCATGATGTGCCCCGTCACCGTGTCAACCGTGACGCCCGCTCCTCGCCTCATCCTCTGCCCCAACCCCTGTGTTCGGCCTATCTCATGACCCTCCGTCTGCAGCCGCACATCGATGCCCTAACCATGCACCTGCATGTCGCCAAGCACCACACGGCCTACGTCGCCAACCTAAACGCGGCCATCGCAGCGCATCCAGCGCTCGCCGCTCTGCCCCTCAGCCCTGCCGCGCTCTGCCGCATGCTTGGGCCCAGTGCTGGTGCCTGTGCTGGCGGCGCCAAGGAGTGCTTGACCCTCGAGCCAGTCGAGGCCGAGCTGCTGCGCCGCAGCGCCGGCGGACACTGGAACCACTCATTGTTCTTCAGCACCATGGCGGCCGAGCCCGAATTCCGCGGCCCCACATCTGCAGAGCTCAACGCCGCGATCAGCGCGAGCTTTGGGTCGATGGACGGCCTCATGGAGGCATTTGGCAGGGCCGCCGCGGGCCGCTTCGGCAGCGGCTGGGTGTGGCTTGGCGTGAAGCCGGACGGCCAGCTTGCCATCACCTCCACAGCCAACGAGGTGCGAAACAAGGGCGCAGCGGGGCTGCGCACGCTCTACCTCGTCACCCCTGCGTGATGCACAAGAACGGTTCTTCCTGATGCCTCACTGCGCCTGGGTTTCACAGTGTTTGGGCACGCTGTTGCTTGGGAGGGCAGAGCAACAGCCTGCAACCTGGAAGGCACCATGTGTGGCCTTGCACAATTACACCACCTTTGTGCCCCACCTAGAAGCAGGCAAATCGCAAGCGCGACTTTCACTTGCCCCACCTGTGTGCTGGCGGCAGCAGCTGTTCTCTCACCCTGTTGTGGGATTTGCATGCGCCCTCACCCCTGTCCTGCCTGCTCGCTAGGACAACCCCCTGATGTCTCTGGAGGGTGTGGAGCCCATGATCCCTATCCTGGGCCTCGACGTCTGGGTGAGCGCGCTACCGTGTGTGGCATGGCAGCGCGTGCTGCTGGGGTGACAGGCCAGGGGGCACTGCTGCACAAACGGCGCAAGGGGACAAGCTTGTACGCGTACGCCATCTGTGCTGTTGCACCTTTGCTGCCATGTGCGTCTCCCTGACTTAGAGAAGTCCTCTGACATCATCCCCTTGTCAGCCCTTACTCTAACTTGGGGCCCCTGTGGGCCTGGAGCCCTGCAGCCTGCACCACACCACCACCCCATGACCCCACCAAGACAACCACGCGGCCGCTTGGCACCCCAGGAGCACGCCTACTACCTCAAGTACCACCAGCGCCGGCACGAGTACGTCGATGCCTGGTGGAACGTGGTGGACTGGGTGAAGGTGCGGAGGAGGGGCGGCAGCCGGGGGCGGGGTGTGGGCCAGAGGCAGGGTGGAAAGGAGAGTGTGTTTTGCGTGGGAGGGGCGGGCTGCGCACTGCCTGGTCTCGCAACACATGCTGCGCAAGAGCAGGGGCCACAGGGCTGTGCACAGACGCATTGGGATTAAGGGGCAGCTGAGCTTGATGCATGGCACCTCTGCACTGCCAAATCATGCCAGGTCTCAGCCCATTACACTGCTGCAAAGGAAGGGAAGGCTTTTGAGGACTGAGACGACGCCACCTGGGGGCCTTGGTGGGAGCAGGACTGCGCGCAATGGGCAGGACATGCGTGGTGGGGCTGCCCACATGCGTGACAAGCAATTGGTAGGTCGAGGTACGTAGATGTGATGTGGATGGTTTCGACTGCAGCATCTTTTGCCAACCAGCCACGTGGTGGTGAGCACAGTGTGCATACCGTCCAAGTGCTACCAAACCAACACTGCACAGATACACCGCGCCATGGTTGATGTATGGTGCGAGAGCACATGCGCCTTGCGTGTCACCGTACTTGCCACGCAGCCGCTTGTGGCGGCCGCCGTGCGTACATTGTCAACTCGCACAGGCATGTGGGCTCAGGGTAATGCTGGTCTCACCAGTCATGCAACGCGCCACATTGCATCAGTGGTCTGACTAAACGCAGTTATTCATCATCTGACTGTCCCGGCATTTCTGAATGCGACCAGTTTCATAACAGCGGGGGCTGCAAGCGGAGATATGGCAAGCGTCCAGCGCGTAGGTGGTCGACGACGTGTGCGCGCGTTGCGGCAGAAAACGGCAGACGGCGCTGTCGATGCGTTGTGTTTGTGGGGAGCAGACAATTTGAGATGCACTGGAGCGGCAGCCACGATGATGAGAGTAGATTCCAGGGTTGTGCACAGCGCCGCAAGCACACTGTGTCGCAAGAGCATCCTGAGCGCACTCGGCACAGCTGGATGCAGTGAAACAAGGCATCCAGTGGCAGAACACCAAGATCGCCTGTGTACAGACTAGTGTGGCAAACTAGCTGTCATATCACCACAGCTTCACTGCGTGGATACTGAGATACAGCACCGCGCGCGATCTCACAGCTCGTGCGCTGAACAATTCTTGACGAAAGTCTCAGAGATTTGCGTGGCTACAACCAGCTTGCTTGCCACTGGTCATTGGGCGCCTGCTAGACAGAATGCGGATGCAGATGCCACATGGCAACAGCGCGCTGGCACGCAAGCTGCGCAGCGTCGCCTACCTCATCAATTTGCACAGCATTGCACTCTGTGTGCTTGGCTGCCTGGCGGTCTATGCGTGCGAGTACCTGGGGCTCAGCTTCAGCCTGGATATATCCGTTATTGTATTCGGGGTTACATTCTCGGTGAGCAGTATGTGAAGGCGCTATATGGAGTGAGCCACTGTCAGCCGGTCAGTAGCAGTGGGTGCTGCCTAGTAGGGCATCAGCCATTTGCGAAGCAGAGGTTGCAGTGCACCAAGTTCGTGATGGATGTCCCACCGTTAGTACTTTACTTGGCGCGTCTGCCTCCTGTGATCCCTGCCTGTGCCAATCGGTTGCAGGTCACCTTCTCAATCACCCAGGCCTACCAGCGCAGAGAGCGCGCGCTGATGACAATCGCAGAACTCAAGGTCGGTCTCTCTGTAACAGTCAGACGGTTGCGTTGCAATTTGGATCTCTAGAATGGCGTCCGTCTGTCACCAACGGCAACTCCTCAACAGTCCATGCTTGCTCAGCTCCATTAAACAAGTTCTTCACCTCTGCAAATTGTGCCACATTGCAGGCTTCTATAATTGCTCTTTATTGGCAGCACCGGTGGGTGGTGCCTGGTTTTGGGGACTTGAATTGACGGCTGAGCTCTTGCATGTCATCGCCTGTACCTTGTGGAGCAAACATTGCCTGTTCGCGTTATCCCCCCCCACTTTGTTGCACAACACCTTGCTGGCCCCAATCAAGGGACTGGGCCCAGGACTCCAACTACCCAGCATCCCTGGGCAATGACTCCAACATGTGGGCTCAGGAGGTTGCGTCTGTTGCAACAGAGTTCCTCACAAACCTTGAAACGTACGTCGCCACCCGCGAGGGCTATGAGAGCATCGCCGAGTTGCGGCTGGCCGCCAATCGCCGTTCGTTGGGGCAGCTGCTGCTGGGAGCCACGCACATGCAGAGCGACAACCTGGGCCTCACGTTCGTGGAGCGGTGAGCCGGACGAGTGAAACGGCGCCCATATGCGGCGCCAGTGGAGCGATGGATCGTGCGAGCCGGAGCAGCGCTCCAGTGTCAAATCAGCGCGTGCACACGGTCCATCTGGGACGAGCAAATTCTAAGCGCTCTGCATCGCTCCTGCTCACACCGCCCTCTCCCAGCTTTGCCCGCGCCACTGTCCTTTGCTTTGCTCTGTTCAACCGACTCTTCACCACCCAAACCTTTGCGCCGCCTTCAGGGTCCAGAGCATAAGCACAAATCTGCCCGGCTACCCTTCCTTGATGCGTGCCTACGGGGCCCTCAGCAAGATGAGCGTCATGAATGAGTACCTCACACACAAGGCCCACTACATGCGGGGAGGTGCGCGCGAGCTGCAACGCTGCATACTGCGCGCACCGTCAGCGGCGCCAGCAGCGGCGATTGATTGCGCTTCTCACCATCATGTGATGGCTGGCTGCAGGCAGGCTGAATGGCATGGGTGAGCTGCAGCATGCAATGATGGCGTGGGACAGGCGCTACGTACGACTGGGTGTCACAATGCAGCTGCGCATGACCCTCAGCCCTCTCCTTGGACAGAGCCCCGCAAGGTTGTCAGGTTGACACCCCCCCCCCCGGACCTCTCGACCCCGTGCTCAACGACTCCCCTCTCGACGACCCCGTGCTCAACGACTCACGTGATGCTCTCAGCCCTCACACCCTCAACGCCCGCCACCATTTCTGACCTCCCAGGAGAGGGCGGCATGTCGCGTACTGCCCAGTACCTGCGGTACTGCATGGCACAGATGGAGCAGCTGCGCATGATCAAGATTTACAGGTCCGGGCAATGGATTAGCAGGCGCAAATCATATGTGGCGGTGCTGTCGCACGCCATACATGACCCGGGGCTTATGCTTTGCGAATTTCTCATCAAACTGATTAGTCCTTTGGCCACCCCAATGCTGCTGCGAATAGCTGCTGACTCATGCTGCACCCTGTTCCCACCCCCTTACTTCAATCCTGCCTGCAGGACGCCCGTCATGCTGCGAAATGCTTGCAGCATCTTGACACACTCCCTGACCGTCATTCTTGCACCGTACTTCGTGCACGCGGGCAAGTGCGACGCGGGCGTAGAGGACGCTGGCTTTGGCCCGTGGTGCCCCGCGCCCTACGTCATGGCGTGCCTGTGGGTGCTCATCACCACGTTGCTGCTGAATGTTCAGGTGGGTCTGCTGCCGTAGGAAGGACAGGAACGCAAGAGCTTGCTGCTTGGACATCTACCATTGGACCTTGTTTCTCGTTATGTTGAATTACGGCGGGGGCCATGGCATGCTGCTACCCTGGAGGCAGCATGAGGCTGCTTGATGCAGCTGGCACCATTGCCAACCACCTGCGATAACACCCTCGAGCGAATAATCCGTGTGACCAACCATACAGGACTCTAATGAGCACCCCCTGAACATGCTGGTGAGGGGTTTTCCAGTGTTCAGTGGCTGCAGTAAGTTTGGTCTTCTCCTTTTGTTTGTATGGGGCCAGGGTAATAAGTAGCTTCAATGTAGAGGGCGGCGATGTGGCTTCATACCTGGGAAGCTCAACATCCCTTCACACAGCCTTGCGTGCACAGCCTTGCGGAGCCTCTGGCTCCGTCGAGCCCCCCCTCGTGGCTCCCCCCCTCAAGGACACCCAATATCGCTTGATGCTTGCGTGTGCAATCCAGTCTGCGGGCACAGCTCCAGCTTCTTTTCGAGGCACCCACTGTAAACCTCCTCAGGGTGTGGACGACGTGTTCCTCAACCTGTCAGAGGAGTTTAGGGACGTGATTGCAGACGCGGTGAGTGCCCTGCTGCACGTGACTTCAGTGTATTGGCTGCAGGCGGCGCCCTGTCTGAGCACTATCTGACGGCTCCGCCGCTTGACCTGCCGTTCAAGCCATCACGCATGCGCACATCGCACCTCTCCTGTGCAGAGGTACCAGGCTGGGTCAATCCCAGATGACGGCAGCTGCTTCGACCAGTGGCGGATGCAGTTCGATGCCAAGTGGCGCTCGGCGGCCACTGACTAGGTTCTGGGGACTCGCAGCCAACGAAGCTGAGGTTGGCGGTTTGCTATCTCAGCGTTCCTGACTGCATGGAACTACATCATCTATCAAAGAGCAAATTCCTGAAGATTACTTGGACGTGATGGCAATGCATTTGCCCCGGGGAGGGATTTGAATTTCTTGCGCTGTTCTCAATCATTCCTCCATGCTGCGTTGCATTTTGCACCCTTGTTTGTGAACCCGCCTGCACATGCCCGCATGCATGCCCGTGTGTGCGGGGCAGACTTGCAGACACGTAGTGCCTTTGTGCACACCTGCTTCGATTGGCGAACGCTGGCCACTTGATGAGTCCCAGTCGCACAATGCTGATGCTACAACGCTAATCCCATTAGCCTGGATGGCTTCAGGAGCGGGCGACCGCGGGATCTTGTAACATTCCTAATCCTAATCCATGTTTTCCGGCCACCTTCCCTCATCTTACGGTATCGTTTTGCAAGTGTTGAATGAGGCAAGGACCCCAAGCAACAGCTGACTTATGGACCTTATTCATCAGAGCACGCACTTTGCATGTGACGTTCAGGCCCAGCTGAACCAATTTGGGAGCACTACGATGCACACAATAAAGCAGTCAGTGCGTGGGCATCACGCACTCAGCCGGGTGGTTAGTTGCAAGCACGGTACGGTACACCCAACAGCACAAACATTCAGAACACGCTTTCCGTGGGGTTTGGGGACCTGATCCAGGCCCGTGGCCGTCCAAGGCGTGCAAATGCACGGATAGATAGGAACATCGTACAGGGCTGCGCCAGTGCTAGACCAGTACAATACAGCAGCGCGCGCGTGTGGCCAAAACTCCACCACCGCCATTGGCGCCCCATAGTGGGCTACCTTCCAGAAGCGGAGAGGGGCCCCGGGATACAGTGAGAAAAATGGACTGGCAGCTGCGTGAATGGGGGGATGCGATACCCCGTGCCTGCTGTCTCAAAAAAATGCGTAGATAGTCCCCGCGATCGCCGCTGCCGCCGCTGCCGACACCGCTGCTTGAGATTTCACGACCCCGCAGCACAGCCCTAGGGAGGCCTCCCCAAATCCACGCCCGAGCCGCCTTTGCTTTGCTCTGCTCTGTTACAATCGTCTAGGCCAGCTAGACTCCTCCCGCCACTGTGACCAACCGGTGTGAACCAACAACAGGGCTTTAAACACCAGCTAGCCGCCCAAGGCAGGCGGCAACACACGTAACAACATACAAGCCAAGATAAAGCTGCAGATACACAAACAAAGCAATGAGGGCGCTCTGCACACACCCAGGAGACATGCCTGGCCCTGGGCCCTGGGGCCTCTCCAGGGCACAGGCGGGCCGCGGGTTTGACCGCCCGCGGCGACGGTAGCGCGGCATCCGCGCCCCCCTTGTGGGTGCGGCAAGCAGCGCCCCCCTTGCAAGACGGCGTGGACAGCAAAGCCGCCCTGAGCAGTGCAAGGGGTCGCGGGTTCCACCCGCTGGTGGGAACATGGTAGACCAGGTGACAAGACGGACAGACCGCGTAAAACACAACACAACACGAACACAACGCCATGAAACCAGCAAGCCTCGCTTGTCACGCTGCGCGCAGCGCCCCCCCACTGACGTTGCGCCGGCCGACGGCAGGGCTGCACGGGGCCGGTTCCCTTGGATGTTGAGCGGTCATGGCGCGTCCTTGGGGCCGACCCCGCACAGCACGGGTCTGCACGTCGGTCATACACAGCATGTGTCAGGGGGCGGCGCCGCGCGTGTGCCAGCCGCGGAGCAAACCAATAACACACAAGGAGGGGGAGCCAGGTACGTAGTGCAAGGGTGACAACGTCGAGTGAAGAACAGGTTTGCAAAAGTAGTCGGTGAGACTGTGTGCCGCCCTTTTTTTTTGCTTTGCTCGGCGCTGCCGCCCTTTGCTTTGCTTTGCTCTGTTACATTCGTCTAGGCCAGCTAGACTCCTCCCGCCACTGTGACCAACCGGTGTGAAACAACAACAGGGCTTTAAGCACAAGCTCGGCGGGCGCTGCCGCCCGCCGAGCGCTGAGACCTTTACCTCAACAGCATTCTTATTTGTTAGATTTTGTCAGCTGTCATCAAGCAGTCTTCGTGGTCCAACGGTCAAGATTCCCGCCTGTCACGCGGGCGACCCGGGTTCGACTCCCGGCGAGGGCGCTCTCTTTTGCGAGATGGGCCATGTGCAGCTTGTTTCGAGGCACCGCGAACCGGTCCCCAGGCAGCAGCACGGCGACCATGTGCAGCTTGTTTTCGAGGCACCGCGAACCGGTCCCCAGGCAGCAGCACGGCGACGCAGGCACGGAAACGTCCGTTGGTAGCGATTGCACCCGAATCTCAGAAACACAACGTTGATGCCCTGGGCGACGCGCCCGCGCCCCCGCATCGCAAACGCAAGAGGGTTGGCACAGAGGGCGGACAGCCGCCAAGCCCCAAAAAAGGGCAGGAAGCGCACGGGGTGCTACGCGCCTGTGAGGAATTATTGCGTTGCGCGGCGCTTTGTCACCCAAAAAATTAAAACAGATCATGCGGCCAGCCACACATTGCAAGGATCGACCTGGCAGACACACATACACGCACCAGGCAGAGCTGCATCTTGAATTTAGGCTTGGGGCTCGTCGGCTGGCGCGGGCTGCAGAAGCGGCGGTGGCGGCTGGCGACGGCGCCATGATGCCGCAGGTCAAAGCGCGCCACGCCACGCGGCCGCTGTGCCTGCTGCCGCACGGCAGCTGCGTCAGTTGCAAGGGGCGGCAGGCCGCCACCGACTCCTGGCGCGTCTCCATGCAGCGTGGTATTGGGGCCGCCACCGTCAGGGCTCGCGGCGACGGGGTGCGTGAGGTGCACGGCGGGCCGGCGGAGGCTGTGGAGGGTGGGCTGTATGGTGGGCTGTATGGTGGCATCCGTCGAGGCGTCATGGAGGAGGTTGGCGGTGCCCTCGCCCAGTGCCAGCATGTAGGCACCGCGCAGCATGGCCCTGTGCAGGTGGGTTGCATGTGCAGAGCAATGGGAGTGGGACGCGAGATGGGATCAAGGCGGGGGAAGGGGGGGCCGCTTACCTGCGCTTACCTGGGGACTGAGGAGCGCACAGCAGGTGCTGGCGGCCGTCGCCTTGCCTGCCACGCAGCGCTGCCGCGGCTCAGCGGAGCGCTGCGCTCCAGCTCGCATCCAGCAGCACATGTCTTGTTGGCCAGGCCCTTTCTCCTTGCCAGACCCCCGACGTGCCTTACAAGCGAGAACAGCTGCTTGAGCTCGATCGCCGCTTTACACCGCGATGAACTCCAGCCCAGGGGCCCCTGGGCTGGGGCCCCCCTCCATTAAACCGGCGGTTTGATGGAGGGAATAATAGTACACACCACACCTCATGCACATGTCACACACCCAGCACCGCGTGCCGTTCACACACCATAATCACCCAGATGCCCCACCCGCCGGCCCCTTTTGCTACCGTCCCCCCGGTGCTGACATTTCCGCCTCTTGTTACAGGAGGCTAGAAACAGATCATGCCGCCAGCCAGATTTTCCAAGGATCCGGCAGACACACTGGCACCAGGCAGAGCTGCGTAGAAGTTCTGCCTGGTGCCCGAGAACCCGCCATCATCCAAACCATCAACATCACGACCCTTTCCCCCAACGCGTAAAAGTCGTTCGGGACCGAGGGGGGGCGGCGGCGCGGCAGTATCCGCAAAAAATATGCCGCCGCCAGCCGCCACCGCCGCTTCTGCAGCCCGCGCCAGCCGACGAGCCCCAAGCCTAAATTTAAGGTGCAGCTCTGCCTGGTGCGTGTATGTGTCTCTGCCAGGTCGATCCTTGCAATGTGTGGCTGGCCGCATGATCTGTTTTAATTTTTTGGGTGACAAAGCGCCGCGCAACGCAATAATTCCTCACAGGCGCGTAGCAGCCCGTGCGCTTCCTGCCCTTTTTTGGGGCTTGGCGGCTGTCCGCCCTCTGTGCCAACCCTCCTGCTTTTGCGATGCGGGGGCGCGGGCGCGTCGCCCAGGGCATCAACGTTGTGTTTCTGAGATTCGGGTGCAATCGCTATCAACGGACGTTTCCGTGCCTGCGTCGCCGTGCTGCTGCCTGGGGACCGATTCGCGGTGCCTCGAAAACAAGCTGCACATGGCCCATCTGGCAAAAGCGATCGCCCTCGCCGGGAGTCGAACCCGGGTCGCCCGCGTGACAGGCGGGAATCTTGACCGTTGGACCACGAAGACTGCTTGATGACAGCCGACAAAATCTAACAAATAACATCGCTGTTGAGGTAAAGGTCTCAGCGCTGGGCGGGCCAGCAGCAGCAGCGGCAGCA